CCCCACAGCACCCTGACCCCCCCGAATCCTGCCGGTCCCTCTCCTGGGACAGCCGGGCTTGGCCTCACCGTGAGCGGCTGCCCCAGCTCCAGCAGTGCCGCCGTGATGTAAGCCGAGAGAGAGAGCTCGTCCACCACGCCACCCTGACGGGGAGAGAGACACCGAGAGTCGGCTCAGACCGAACTGCAGGTCTCGTTGCCAGGAGCAAGTGAACCGCTGCCCAGGACAGGCCCATTGGGCCTGGGAAGAACCGGATCCAGCGCTCCGAGGTGCTGGGTTTGGGTCCCGCCTCCTGCTGGGACCTGTCAGGCCCATCTGGGTCCCGAGCAGCTGCCCCCAGTCGTAGCAGCCAGGGAGGCCACATGGTGGCAGTGAGTTCCACAGGCTACTTCAGGAGAGGTGGTAGTGGCTCCATAGCCATGGCTGCACTGGACTCCCGGCATAAAACCCTATCTGAGCTCCCCTGGAACAGAGGCTGGGAAGTTGGTTTGAACTGACATTTGCCAGATTTCCTGTGAAGACCAGGAGCCGTTTCTGCAGAGGCTGAGGGATTCGCCTCTCGCTGGGGGAGTTCCTGAACATTAAATAGTCCCCCTGTGTGGGAATCTGGACTTTGCCTAAGATTTGTCTCCTTCTAGCTCCCAAACGGCTGGGTACAGACCCAGCCCCTCCCATATAGTACCAGCTCCCTGCAAACTCCGGGGCTGTGGCAGGAATTAGGCTGTGACTTGCGCTGGGTGGGAATTTCCTGCTGAAATGATTTCTCTACAGATGATGCAGTTTCCACAAATCCAAACTTTGCGGGAAAACGTTATTTTTGCTGAAACCTTTCAATTTCCGTTGGGAAAATGGAAACGCAACATTCTGCTGTGGGTCGGCGGGGCCCAAATTGCAGCCTCTCGGGTTGGCGACCTGAACCGAAACCTTCCCCTGCAAGCCGGTTCAACATTCAGCTGCACCGGCTTCATGCCCCCATTCCCGCCTGGACTCGGCTCCATCGGACTACATCTCCCATGGTGCACCGCGACCGCCCTTCTGACTGAGCCGCATGGGGAGTTGTGGGAGTCACATGACTTCAGGGCTGGGCTGGGCCCTGCCCCTCAGGCTCTCCGTGCCAGGCAATGAGTGTGGGTTCTGCTCAGTGCCTGCGGGGAGACCGGGCTGTGCAGGAGCCAGGGGGGGCTGGGCCAGGGCTGCTCCCTCGTTCGGTGCAATAACCCGCTGCCCCGGCCGTTCCAGCCATTCAGCCATTGCTAAAAACCCAGGGAAATCCCCCAAACCGACACGGGTGACAACAACCAGCTGCCATGAGGGGCCCCCACCCCCTTCCCCAGCTTGTCCCCTCCTCCCCCATCCCATCAGCCCATCCCCCCAGCCTCCCACCTGCAGGGCGTTGTTCAACAGCTTCCCCACACTGCGGAAGCAGCCGGTCTTCCGCTGGCGGCGCTGTAGCCACCTTAGGGCGTCCTCTAGGTGCTTCTCGTCGATGGAGATGTAGGGTCTGGCCTGGCCAAAGGACTTGAGAACGAAGGCCGTCAGCCTGGGTGGGGAGAGACCCCATGAGAGGGACACTCTGCAGGAGATGCTGCGGGCCAGGAGGGAGGTGCATGGGGGATGGGGGATGGGGGTCAGCATTGTGGGGGTGAGCAGAGCTGTCAGGGGCGCCCAGGATGGCAACGGGGGGATTTGGAGTGAGTACGAGGGGCAGAGCTGTGTGGGGAGCAGGACTGGAGTAGCAGTGGGGCTGGGGGTCAGGCTGCAGCCCGGTAGGCCCTGCCCACCCAGAGCCCTGACTCGCCCGTGCCATGCGGCCCCTCACCAGGTGTTGCCCGTGGCGTTGCTCTTCCTAGAGGCGCTGTAAGAGCCATCGTTGTGCTTATAGAGCAGCTCGTCCTGGTAGCCTGCGGGGATGGGAGAGAGACAGCGAGTCCTGGATCCGCTCACCCCCAGGGGCTAGAATCCACCCCCAGCCTGCACCCCGTGGGGCCCACTAGCCCTCCCCTCCCCCACGACGCTGAGACTCAGAGATTCCAGGGGTTGGTTTGAATAGGGGGATGGAGTTAAGGCTGAATAGGGCCCTGATCCCCCAAAATGCACCAGCGCCCCAACCTGGGGCTGGATCCCAACCAGCGCCCCCTAGCGGGGAAAGGGCTCCTCTCCCATTCCCTGAACCCTGAGTCTGGGCCTCGGGACTGGTGCCCCAGAGAGGAAAGGCCAAGGATCTAATTCCCTCACCCCCATAGCCCGGGCCCCAGAGGTGGCATGGACAGGGCCCTCGCATGGCCCCACCATGCCCTAGGGGCGCAGGGGCGGGAGGACACTCACCGCTCTGGAGGAAACCCTTGGCCTTGTCCCTGATCTCCGGGCTCAGCTGCCCGCTTTTCTCCAGGTACTGCTGGATGTAGATGTTGTGAGCGAACCGGACCATGTTCTCCTCTCCATTGCCATAGGGCATGGCCAGCAGATGTTCTGTGTTCTGCAGAGCCGTGCCCATTATGTCTCCTGGCACCAAGGGAGCCGAGGGAGCAGAGAATTACCAGGCTGCACAACAGCTGCCCCGTCCCTAACACCACGTCAGTGGAGCCCTGGCACGCGGGACCCAGAGCCCCCAGTTCAATTCAGGCCTGGTGGGGTTACGTGGATACGTGGTGATGAATTAGAGTGACCAGACAGCAAGTGTGAAAAATCGGGACGGGGGTGGGGGGTAATAGGAGCCTATATAAGAAAAAGACCCAAAAATCGGGAATGTCCCTATAAAATCGGGACATCTGGTCACCCTATGATGAATGGCCAAGACGCCAATGCTCTGGCACAGCTTCATGGCATCACCGTGGGAGTCTATTGCCCTCACTGGGGACGAGGCCCTGGAGCACATACTGCAGGGACTAGTCCTGCGCCGGCCCCAGACACCCACTAGACCTCATTGGTATTTTCCATCCGTGTGTCCCGGACTCTCTGATCAGAGCACTGGGCCACAGATGGGCTGGATGGTGAAGGGCACCGTGCCCTGGCAGGAATGGGGCATGGGAATTCCTTACCCAGGACAGTCACGTGGGCCCGCTCGGACCCTGCCAGGACGTTCGCGGGCAGCTGTAAGGAGATTTCTTCGGACGCTGCGTGACACGAAGGCAAAGACACACCCTTAAAGGCCCGTTGGGCAGCTGCCTCTGCCTCCAGCCAATCAGATCCCTCCATTCCTCACCATTCGGGGTTCTCACCCAGTCACAGCCCCTCTCTCAATCCCAAGCTTCCCCCGCCGTGGCACATACGTGCCCTTGAAGGCGAGGGCTGGGGGTTCTCAGCAGAGGGTCCTGCCTGTGGGACTCAGTCCCTCTCTTGGCCCCAGGGAGCCAGTGTGACGAGCTCTGCAGGGAGCATCGTACACACTGGGGCCAGGCAGCAGGGGAGAGGAGCTGGCACAACAGAGGCCCAGTCATAGGCGCCGACTTCACTTGGCACCGGTGGGAGCTCACGCCCCCCCGGCCCCGCCCCAACTCCACCCCTTCCCCGCCCCCATTCCAACCCCTTCCCCAAATCCCCACCCCGCCTCCTCCCCCAGGCGTGGCGCATTTCCCCTCCTCCCCCCCTCGCAGGCTTGCCACACAAAACAGCTGTTTTGCATCAAACCTGGGAGGTGGGAGAAGCGGAGCAGCGGCAGAGCACTCAGGGGAGGAGGCTAGGCGGAGCGGAGGTGAGCTGGGGTGGGGAGCTGCCGGCGGGTGCATCTTCCCCGGGCAGCTGGGCCTGGACCCTGTCCCAGGTAGGACATTGGCCTGGATGCCCCCTGGTCTGGTCCAGCCTCGCCCCTCCTGTGCCCCTAGCTGGGCCATCCAGCGGCCAAGCCATCACTGACGTGCCGCAGCCAAGAGACTCCCCACATTAGTGACACCCACTGACCCCGCACAGGCGCTGGGAACCTACCTTCCTGGCAGAGCAGGGAGCTGTGCACCTTCTCCTCCAGGATCCCCCCCGGCTGTGGGGAAGGAGCATCAGACAGAAGGTCAGGAGAAGGGACCATGTACGTCACAGCCTGACAGGGCCTGCTGGGTCAGCCAGTGCCCCTAGCCAGGGCAGGATCATCCCCTACAGCCCGTGCTGTGGGGCTCGGGCACATCCAGTTCTCAGCGCCCCAGCGATGGGGCTCCCGTCCCTTCCCCGGGGAGACTGTTCCCAGCCCAGCAGATCTCGTGGCTTCCTCCTCTTCAGCGCGGAGCTTCCCTCTGCTAGTTCCCTCCGCCCCCTCGAGTCCTCCCGTGTGTGACACTCAGCCACCCCCCTTGGGGCTAACCCCAGTCTCTGCCCCAGGACTCTCCCGCCAGCTCCCTGATCTCGCTGGGACGGGGCCGCGTGACGGGGCAGTGCAGGTTGGGTCCGGGACGCGGATGGCGCGGTGCTGGGGTATTATTTTCTGCGGCAGGACAAAGAACAATCACAAGTGCAGACTCAGCCCACGTCAACCAGGGGGTAAGACCCAGGCACCGGATCTCCCTCCGCTCTGCCCAGAGGCCCTGAACAGACACTGACCTGGACCAGCAGGGTCTTTATCACAGTGTGCACTCTCCCCTGGGCCGGCACCACGGCCACCTCTGTGCCGCACAGCTCCTCGGTGCGCAGAGCCTCGGTGCTGACAGTGACGTTCACCTCCCCTGCCGAGCAAGGTGGGAGACGCCCCGTTAGATAGCCCAACGCCCCTGCCGGAGGCAGAGAGGAGCCTGGGTCCGAGGATGGGAGAATAGTGGGAGGGGGAGGGTGGTGAAGAAGGGAGAGCAAAGCAGAGGAAATGGAGAGCGAGAGAATGGGGGAGAAAAGAGAGAGAAGGAAAGGGGGGAAGGGAAGGACGGAGGGAAGTGATGAGTGGAGTGTAATGGGTTTTTCTGCCTTAGCCCTTGTGTGGGAACAGCGAATGGCCACCCAGAACCTGCCCTCTCCCCGCTGAAATCACTGACAGCTGCGTTCAGGGGGGGAACCTCAGAACGTGACATCGCAGCAGCGACCAGCGGGACGGCAGAGGGGTCCTGACCCACAGAGCTCGGTCAGTGAGACTGCTGGAAGTGAGCGGGGAGAAACTGTGCTTGAATCTGATATAGTTTGTTAAGCCAGGTAATAGTAAACGTCTTCTCTTTATTTCTCTTGTAACCATTTCTGACTGTTATGCCCCATTCCTTGCACTCACTTAAAATCTCTCTCTTTGTGGTTCATGAACATGTTTGATTGTTTTATCTAATCCAGTGTGTTTAAATGGAAGTGTCTGGGCAACTCAATGTGACACCAAGCCCTGAGCGACCCTGTTCTGCGCCCTCCTCACTCCCAGCACAGAGCCTCCAATGCCCCTTACCCGTCTGTCCCCCACCAGAGCCTTCAAAGGCCCCTACCTGCCTCTCTAGTGTGAAGGCTCCAGCACCCCTTCTGTGACGTTATTGATATAATCTGGGACCATATAGATCATTGTTGCAACCAAGGTCCTGTA